AGATGGGCAGTCTCCTCCCTTGAGGACTGACAGGCCTGGAAGCCCACTGAGGGCTGCCATGAGGGGATCAGCTGGACAGCAGCCGGGCAAGGCATGTGTGATTCAGTGATAACAGCTGCCTCCCTCCTTGTCTGAGTCCTACCCGTGAAAGTCCCTGCAACTGTGGCCTTATTCCAGGAAAGGCATCTCTGCAGCCTTGACTAAGTGAAGGGTCCTGAGGAGAGACCATCCTGAATTGAGGATAAGACTTCGAGTCACTGGGAGCTCTGGTGGCCTAGTGGGTAAGGAGTTTCACTGTCAACCCAAAAGCAGGTGGTTCCAATCCTCCAACTAGCTGCTTCATGGGAGGAAGATGGCCAATTTCCTCCTGTGCTTTACAGCCTCCGAAAAGCTGCTGGAGGGTCAGCGGTTCTGACTCGAGGGCAATGAGAGACATTTTCACATCAACAGGGATCCTGGTGGTGCAGCGGGTATGCACTGGGATGGTCATCCACCAGGTCCCGGGAGGGGGACCCCTGGGCAGCCTCTGAGGCCAGAGGGGGTGGATATGCTCTGGGATGTGGGGCTGTCCGGCCTCTGTGATGGGGACTAACTTGAGTGAAGTGGGTTTCAATCAAGGAAATATAACCCACTATCATCCAGTCTGTTCTATATAACAGCCTTGCGCGTTCCCTTAGGGTCCCCAAGGCCTCCTCACAGGGTCCCCAAGGCCATCCAACAGGGTCCCCAAGGCCCCCTCGCAGGGTCCCCAAGGCTATCCAACAGGGTCCCCAAGGCCCCCTCGCAGGGTCCCCAAGGCCACTGTGCAAAGTCCCAAGCCTGTCATTTCACGGCATCATAGAGCCAGATCATCTGCTGAGTGGCTTAGTGGGTTCAAACTGTCTACCTTTCTGATGTTGTTGATTGTCTTCAAGTCAAGCACGACTCATAGCAAACCTATGAACAAAAGGCCTGAAGCCCCTCTACAACTGTCGACATTTATCAAAGTTCATAGAGTTTCTGGAGGCGTGTTGTTTAGGAAGTGAACGCCACCTACTGCACCACCACAGCTCTTAACCCCCATCAAAGAGTGAAGCGGGGGTGGGGTTAGGAAGACCAAAGAGCAGGGCTGACACACATAGCAGGGATGCAGTGTCCCCAAGCCAAGGACCAGCAGCCCCCAGAGCTCCCTCGGGACCTCCAGGAGGAATCAGCCCTCTTACAGTTGATTCCAGACTGTACCCCAAAACTATGGAAGACATTCTCCTGTGGTGTTGGCTGCCCAGCTGGTGGTCACTTGTTAAGGCCACCCCAGGATCACACAAGGGCCATACCTCGCTTTTGAATAAGTCTGTGGGGGCTTGAGAAAGGACAGGACTGCTGAGTGTGTCCCACTCAGTGCTCACTCAGCTTCAGGACTGCTGGAGGGAGGAGAACGGCCACCCTGGGGCCACTACACCAATGGCCAAGTGCTTGACCACTAACTGAAAGCTGTCAGAGCAGATGAAGCTCTGGACAGCTAACCAAAAGGTCAGTCACTCTGACGGAGAAGGATGCAGTCTGCTTCTCTGGGAATCAAAACCTTAGGGACCTGAGGGACAGCCCTGTTTAGTTCTGTAGGGACCCCCAGAGACACCTAGGAAGAGAGGCCTGGGGACGCACTTCTGAACACTGAGCAAACCTGAGGGAAAAGCCCCGGAGCACAATTCTGCTCCCACAAGAGGGGGTCACTGTGAGTCACAGTCCACTAACAGCAGCTGGGTTTCCTAAAGGCTGACTCGAATCTCAGGGGAGGGGGCTTGGGGCATGTGGATCTGGTGATGCTGCCGCTGCACCCCCAGACGCAGCATGCCCCGACTCAGCGAGTCAGGGAAGAGCCGGGAGCCCCGTTCACAAGCTCTGTGGGAACCACTGTCATAGAGCTGAGGGGAGCAGGTGGGTGGGATGGGAGTCCGCAGCCCGGGACCACAGGCGTGGGGGGAGGGGGCTGTACAACAGCCACAGGGCCAAGTTCAAGGGAAAGGGTCTGCTGCTCTCCGAAGTTCACACAGCGATCTACCAGGCGTCCATCCCAATCAGAAAGCCCAGGGAGCTGTGGACGTTCACTGTCCCTCCTGGGGCAGGTCTGCAAATGTCCCCAGTCCCCAGAGCAGTGCAGACCTTGGTGGGGACAGTGCAGTGTGAAGAGCTACGAGAAAGTGGAGGACAAGTGTCCAGGGGAGGCAGGAAGACCAACCCCATTGCCACCGAGGGGCCCCCAGCTGAACGGACCCTGGAGCCCGCAGCTGCACTGCCCGCAGCCGCCCCAAGGCTGGGAGCCATTACAGAAGCTGACGGCCTTGTCATTCTCCCTCGGAAGGGCTGACGGAGTCTAATCACAGACCTGTCGGATGAGCACTTAACCACTGCATCACCAGGGATGCTCAGAACGGGAATAAAACCAAAAATCAAGCTGTCTACTGTCCAGCTGGTTCCAACACCCAGGGTGGCTGCAAGGCTGAGCTGGGCTGCCGCGCGGGGTTCCCAGAGCTGTCCGGACAGAAGCAGGATGCGTCCTTCTCCTTTGGAGTGGGTGCTGGATTCAAACTGCCGACCCCATACTTAATCTGCTGTGACACTAGGACTGTTTGCAACGATGGCAGCTTAAAGACTGAGGTGCACCTGATTTAGGCCAAGGGTCTGTTCCATCACCTGCTAGGCATCTGAGAGCTGGACAATGACTAAGGATGACAGAAGGATTGACAGCTCTGAGTTGTGGTGGAGAGGAGTGCTGAGTGCCCCATGGACGGTCAAGAAAGCATACGCCGTAAGGAAAGTGCAGTCAGGTTCTTTGGAGCAACGACTGAGGCTTAGTCTCACGTACTCTGGGCATGTTGTCAGAAGAGGTTCTTCATATTTGGAAAGGCGGAGGGTTAGCAAAAGAGATGGAACGACGCAGTGGCCACAGACACGGGCTCCAGTGTCTCAGAGATGATGAGGGGACGCAGGACAGGACGGGGCTCAGACCTACTGTCCACAGCATCATTGTGAGTCACCCTCAACAGCACACAACGACAACAAAGCATCTCACAATAACAAACCCCAAACCCACGGCTTCTGAGCTGGCTCCACCTCCTGGCCGCCCATGGCCCAGGGCAGAACCAGGCTCGTTCTGTTCCCTCCCCCGGCTGACTTTTCAGTGGATTGGCAGACGTTTCTTCCGAGGCGCCTCTGGGTGGACTTGAAGCCACAGCCTTTTGAAACTCACTGCTGTTGCAGTGATTCCTACTACAAGAAACCCCATGGAATCCAGGAGGAGTGGCCCAGGGAGTTCCGAGGCCGAAATCCCCAGTGGAGCTGCTGGTGGGCTAGAACCTCTGATCTTTTGGTTCACTGCTTGGCCCTTTAACACTGTACCATCAGGGTCCTCCCTGCAGAGCCAAAGGGTCCCAGAAGTTCAGAGGGAAGGGCCCACATCCCTCGGGGGCCAGGATGCAATGCAGAGGCTCCACACAGCACGTGGGCACCCCACTTCTGCAGCGGGAGAGCTGCTCCACTACACAATGAAGTCACTTATCAGGTGGTTAACACGAGCATGTTCCACGACCAGGTACAGCTTTTAGAACAAGAGGCAAAAGCTATTTGCAGAGAGGTGCCCACAACACAGATGGGAAATTAATTGTATCTCAGATGGAAGCAAGGCATCCTGGGGCTCAGACAGGCTTGAGCCATGGCGGAACTGGGCAAGGCAGGGAGGGTGTGTGGGGGCTGGTGTCTCAGGTCAGCTGGGGCTATCCATCAGAGGGACAGGGCCCCGAAGCCCTGGGGATCTCCCAGCTCCAATGAGAGGCTGGGTCAGTGAAGCCACTTCACCCTCCTCCTGCCACGACTCCTGTGGCCAGTAACGGTGACCTAGGCTCTGGACCCTCACCGTCACTCCAATCCGTCAGTTTCTGGCGTTCTGTGTCAGGTGTACAGCCCCCGAGGCTCAGGGCTGGCCCTGCCCTGCTCTACCCACAGTGGAGCGGAGGAGGAGGTGGGCCGGCCACGCTGGGCTCCCGAGGCCTCGCTCTGCACACTAGCCCATCAACCCCTGTAATGTGTTGGGAGGTGCTCATACCTGGCAGAGCCAGGGTCTCCGCGCAATTAAGGGCTGACCAGTCTCCCCTGGGGGCCAGACGGCATCAGGCTGGGCATCCGCAGGCAGTGATGCTCAGCACTGGGCACTGCCCGGCAAGCATGCGGCGGGCTGTGCATCTTGTGCCGTTCTCTGAGACAGGATGTGCCTCACACACAACAGATGCAAGCCCAGCATCCGACCTGAGAAATGCTCGGCTGAGGACAAGGGGCTCCTCACCCCTAACGGTGAGCAGGAGTTGGGGAGGCAGAGGTACCCCGAGCACCCTTCCCATGCCCCATTACGGGGCACTGTCAGGTTGGAAAGCTCACCGCCGCCGGTCCAGTGGAATTGCTCCCCGCTGCTGGTCCTGTGTATGCCAGGGGCATGTGGACACAGGCCACCCGGCTCCTCTGAGACGAAGGACTGGGCCCAGCCCCCGGCAGGGCGGCGGGATAGAGGGGGGGCCCCTGAGAACGGCCTCCTGCTTGGCACAAGGGGGACTGGAGGAGGGGAGGATGGTGAGAGCATTGTTGAGGGGAGCAGGTCCCCACGAGATGAGAGACACCCTCCTGGCTTTCTCGACTTGTGGCCCTGTCCTTGCTAATAAAAAGGTGCGTCTGCCATGGCATTTTCCAGTGAGCGTGTCTCGATTACTCACAAATTAATCTGATTCACCGTTTGAACAGCAGTGCCCGAGTGCACTGCTCAGTGTCTGGGGGGGCTCCCCCAGCCCCGCACGGTTCCTGAGGATTTGCACAGCCCCATCCCACTACAGTTAAAACTGAAGAACAAAGATGGAAAGGAATTCTCTCCGTTACACTTCGCTCAAAGCAGGCTCGAAACCCCCTTCAGGATAAAGATACAGAAAAGCGAACAATCAAGGTCCCCGCAGCCAGACGAAGCTGGCCGGAGCCCCACTCACCGATGTCGGTCTCCTTGTGGTTCTTGATGTACTCGGCCAGCTCAAAATTGCCCGCGATAATCGCCACCTGGAAGGAAAGGACATCAGACCCCGTTAAACGTCAACCCCACAGTAGAAGGGCCCTGGCTCGTAAGAACACCGGCTGCTCCCGGCTAGGCTGCCGGCTCAGGCCTCCTTGGAGGTGCGGTGGAGGAAAGGTCTGGCCATCCGCCTCCAGAAGGATGACAGCCCAGGAGGCCCGATGGTGCACAGCTCACCCCGTGACACCTGGGCCTCAATGAATCGGAGCTGCGAGGCTCGTTTTCACAGCTCGGAGCCATGCCGGTGACGCCCTTCTGACGGCTCATGTCCTCGGGAGAAAGGCGGGCCATTTCTTCCCATGTGGTGGACGGTTGGGAGTCCCAAAGAGGGGTCAGCTATGAGTTAGTTCTGATGAATTCTGGGCTTTGAATTGAACAACAATAAAAATCACATTCCCATAGACCTTTTTTTTTTTATTGAATGACAAAACAAAACTCAAACCCCCAACCATACGGTCAACAGACCAATGCGTAATCCACTGTGTCACCCATGCTCCTGGCTTTGGGGTAGCACAGCTATTCATTTTGAAAGCACTTCTTTTTTCAGCCACTTCCTTGTACTCTGGAAGGCCTACCTTTTCCTATCATATACAGGGCCTTCTTTCTCCAGGCTCACATGTCCCCCTGAGTTTCACGTACAGCTCTTCCCTTCATGAGGCCAGAGGGGAGCAGGGGCCCCTCCAAGCAGGGGCCCACAGGTGACACTGCAGACGGGAAGCCCCCAGACCAGGGCACGGGACAGACCATTCCCATTGGGCCTCACCAATCAAAGTCCAAGTCTCTGTTTCCTTCAAGCCCAGAACACAAGCTGGCCCTCAAACTGGACAGGGGACCTCACAGAAAGGTGCTTCATTCAGTTTCATTTCTGCAGCAAACCTTCTGCTCGCACGTGCGTCCCCAGCCAGTAGACACAGTCACACCAACATCTGCTGTCACTGGGAGCTGCTGAGTCAGCTTTTTGTTGTTGTTCTTTAATTTTTTTTCTTTTTAAAGAGACTTTATTACTTTTTTAAATTTTAGAAAACATTTTATTGTAGCTTGGGTTAAAATTTACATAGCAAATTAGCTCTATATTCAACAATTTGTACACATTTTATTTTTAACAACTTGGTGCAATCCCTTCCCCTAACACATCTCTTCCCACTTCCTTTCCAAGTTCCTCATTTCTAGTTGACTTTGTTACCTTGCCTTGTTTTGCCTTCTGAGCCTTGTTTTTGGACACATGCTGCCCTCTGGTCTCTTCTGATTCTAGCTAAAAGTTTGTTGGTTTTACTGATCTTCTCAAAGAGCCACATTTGGGCCCACTGAGTCCACTGTTTTTATATTTTCATTCGTCCCCCCCTTTTTTAAAAAACTGTGATTTTAACAAAAGTTTACAGAAAAGTTGGCTTTTTAGTCATCATTGTTGCACATTTTCCTCCCTATTCCCCAGTTCATTTTTTTAAAAAAAAAAAAATTCATTGATACATAATTTCTTCCCCTCCCCAGTCCACTTTGCTATGCACCTCTTATTCTGAGCTGTTATCATACAAATAATGCCTAATCATATATTCCTTTTAAACAGTTCTTTCCTTCATCTGTTCCAATGCAGTGTTCATTATTTATCCTCTTTTTTTTAAGTTTCCTCCCAACCCCCATGTCAGTCCTGTTTTTTAACAATGGTGTTATGCAATATTTGTCCTTTTGTGACTGAGATATTTCACTCAGCATTATGTCCTCCAGGGTCACCATGTTGTGTAATATTTTATGAGTTCCTTGTTTTTCGATGTTGTGTAGTATTCCATTGTGTAAATATACCACAGTTTTTCTATCCAGTCATTTGTTGATGGGCACTTGGGTTGCTTCTATCTCTTTGCTATTGTGAACAAAGCCGCAATAAACATGGGTGTGCATATATTTGTTTAGGTGGCAGCTCTGGTTTCTTTAGGGTATATTCCCAATAGTGGAACTGCTGGGTCAAATGGTATTTCTATTTCCAAAAATAGTGCCAAACAGCCTTCCATAGTGGTTGCACCATTTTACATTCCACCAACAGTGAATAAGCATTCCAGTTTCTCCACAACCTCACCAGCATTTGCTGTTTGCTGCTCTGTTGAACTCTGCTATTTTTACTAGGGTGAAATGATATCTTACAGTAGTTTCGTATTACTTTATTTTAAAAAAAATGTTTGTTGGTTTGGATACAATTATCAATATACACTGTGCTTCGTTCATGTACTTTGTGTTTTATGCAAGAATTCATATGCATTATATTTAACATAATTACCATTGCTCTGTGCCCATTATCTCTCATCTGTTCAAGTCCCCATTAAATACATCCCAATCCTTCACCTCCCTTCCATCCGCCAACCTCTGCTGTCGCAGTGATTTTTCAGTTTTGAAACATAGTGACCTCACGTGACAGCAGAGCTGCCCCAGAGGGTTTCCAGGGCTCCCATCTGCAGAAAGGAGACCTGGTGGTGCAGTGGCTGGAACGCCCGGCTGCTGACCACAACGTTGGCGGCACAGACCAGCTGCTCGTCCAGTAGGATCTGCAGCATGGAGACCCCATGGACATCTCCCGTCTGTCCTCTGGGCTTGCTGTGTTTTGGGATAATTTCAGGGCCAGATCAGCCTCTCTCCTGCAGAGTAGTCGGGCGCTTCAGACCACTGACCTTTCTGTTAGCAGATAAGCACTTTAACCACTGTACCCCCAGGGCTCCTTATTCTCAGTTGGGTCCTGGAATTTGCTGAATGAAAGTGAAACATTGCCTAATTGTCACGACACAGGAGTAGTGAGGCTGGTGAGGCTCATGTGTCCAGGAATCTGTGGGGGTCTGGGACCCCGGGAACGGGAGGCCACTTGTGCTACACTCTCAGTATGTCAGGGGTGGGGGAATCCTGGCTCAGAGCTAGCACACCTGCACCCACAAACGCAGCCAGGTGTTTGCTCCCAGGGCAGCGCTGGGCACGCACACCTGTGTACTCGACACCCAGCCTGGGTCCTGCAGCATCTCAGCTCCAGCCCGGGACCCAGGAGAAGCCAGTGCCAAATCGGGCCACTTCTGGTTCCCCAGAATCACAAGAGCCGTGATGTCCCAGCTACACTGACTGCTGATAGGTCAGCAGAGACACAGGCCCGGGCACCTCCTTCCTGGAGACAGGGCACACGTTTCAGGCAGGAATCAGGAAGAGGCTGCCCCTGGAGAAAGCCGTCACACTTGGCCGAGCTGAGGGTCAGCAGAGAGAAGAAGACCCTCAATGAGATGGACTGACACTGGCCGGCACACAGCAGCGCGTGAGGACAGCACAACATCAGCTGTGTTTCCTTCAGTTGTACACGGCCGCCGAGTCTGAATGGACAAAACGGTACCTAACAACAACAACAACAAACCACCACCACCGTTTTCCAAAGGAGACGGCCCAGCTGGCTTCCCAGGCTCAGTCCGGAGGCTCCACGGAAGCCTGCGCACCACGAGTGATGCTGCTGGTACCCGTCGCATTGCTGGGACAGCTCCCAGGGTCACTGCAGCATGAGGGCCACCAAACACAGCATGCTGACCGGTCACGGAGAGGTCCCCTCACCGGCCCCAGGCCCACTGCTGACTGTGATTACAAACGGGTCACCAGGCAGCACGCTGAGCTGCCCACACAGCCCGTCCTGGATGTGCACAGCCACAGGCTCAGGCGTGGCCCCCGGCATCGTCACTCGGCCACAGGCAGAGGGCAGCAGAACGCTGATTGGTGACAACTGCTGTTTGTCTCCCCGTGACTGATCACAGCCAGAGAACCCCACCACCACCACGGTGCAGGAAGCCGCACCCTGGTCTCCACTACAGCTCGGGGGACTGGCACATCTCAGGGCCCTGGCCATCTTTCCTGGGGGTAGGACAGGGGCAAGGGCTTTGCAGGGGCTCTGGCATCTGGGGATAAAGAGCCCTGGTGGAAAAGCACGCAACGTAGCAGCCCACTAAGCACCAGGCCAGCAGTTCAAATCCAATGACTGGATTTTCTCCTGTGAGAAAGATGGGCTGTCTTCCCTCAAAACCTAGCGTGGGGCACTGTGAGTCAGAACTGACTCACTGACCATCTGGCTAAGGAGCCCTCATGGCACCGTGGTTAAAGTATTCAGCTTTGAAAGCGAATCCAGCATTTAAAAAGAGCAGGGGTTCAAAGCCACCAGCCACCTTTGGGAGAAGGATGGGGCAGAAGATTCCTGCAGAGATTCCAGCCTTGGATGCCTCGTCAGCAGTTCTGTCGGGTAGGCTAGGTGGTAGCGAGTCTGGATTGACTTTCTGACTCTGGGTGGGCAGCGTGGCTGCACTGAGGGTCTGTCTGTGATGGTCTCATTTGTGCAGGCCAATTCCCATAATCATAGATGAACTAGGGACACACAGTTGCTATGGTCCTAGACTACTACAAATGCTTTACAAGCTGAAAAATCAAAACACTGGCAATTAGATTGATTCCAACTCACAGGTAACCCATGGGGCACAGCAAGACTGTCCCATAGGATTTTCAAAGCTTCCGATATTTAAAGGGCAAACTGTGTCTTTCTTCTGCAGAGTGGCTGGTGGGTTCAAACCATTGATCTTGTGGTTAGAAGCTGAGTACTTAACCACCATGCCCACAGATCTCATGCTGATGAAACTAGGAAATGCTGTTCTAGATGGAACTCTGTCCCCCAGACAGAAATGCTGCATCCTTGGCCCCTGTGACCGAGACTGTGGCCTCGTTTGGGGTTTTTGAGGATGCCATCCGTAAAATGTCACACTGGAGAAGCTGAGGGTGGGGCACTGCATCAAGAAAGAACCCTAGTTGTCCTGAGCGGATTCTGACTCATGCTGGCCCCATTCAGGAGAGAAGTGCACTCAACACGGTTTTCAGTGGCTGATGATTGGAAGTGGCTCATCAGGCCTTTTAAGGTGGGCTCCTCTGGGTCCAGCTGAGTTGTTGACCCCTTGGGTTGGCAGGAGAGTGTTTAACTGCCTGCAACAGCCCAGGAGTC